ACAGATGCATACACAAATTGGGTAATTTGAGGACAGTTTACAAAGGGGTTATTTACAAAGGTATAGGCAGGGCATATGGAAATTACAAAGGATCAACTGCCAGACCTTTGAGCTTGTAAAACGTCAGGGCCTGAAAAGGCAAAGGAACAGTGCAGTCACTAGGACCTGGTGCCAGTAACTGTAAGGGGGCAACCACTAAACAGAAACTGACACCTTTATGGCCAAGACACAGTGGCCAATAGAGGGGAAGCTGGGGAATTGAATATCCCAACTCTGCTCCACAACCTTTCTCCCACCATAACCCTCATTAGCTGAACCCAGCTGGAAGTAAGAGTTGGGCAAGGGGGCCTGCTAATGCAGTCCGAAGAGGTTAGTGTATTATTTATCTATTGCTTTATAACAAATGATTCCAAAACTTAGTAGCTTAAAATAGCAAACTTCACCTCATAGTCTCTGTGGAGCAGGAATTTGGATAGCTAGATTTTGGTTCAGTGTCTCTTGAGAGGTTGCCTTTAAGAAGTCAGCTGAGGCTACCGTCATCTGAAGGCTAGAGAATTTGCTTCCAAGATCCCTCACTCATCTGGCTTTTGGCTAGAGGCTTTAGTTTCGTATCACAGGGGGCTCCTCTAGGTTACATGGGTGTCCTCATGACATGGCAGCTTGCTTCCCCCAGAGCAGGTGATCTAAGAGAGAGCAACTAAGAAGTTGTGATATGTATGATGATCTAGTCTTGAGAGTCACATACCATCATGTCTGACACAGACCAGCCCTCATATAACATGGGGTGGGGGGTCTTATTCAGGAGCAGGACAACCAGAGGGCAGAGATCACTAGGTGCCATCTTGGAGGCTGATTATCACAACCAGCCTACCTGTAGGATGCAGACGGTTGAAAGTAGATATAGAAATGCTGACAGAAGACATCCAGCACACCCCCAAGTAGAAGTACCCGTTTATACTCTGATCACATAATAAATTACCCATATCTTGACTGCAGCACCAATTATATTGCTTCAAATTTGTTGTTTATCTATCTGTCTCTCTGGAATGTAACCTCCTTGAAGAGAACTGTCTTATTCTTCCTTATGTCTTTGGTGTTTACACAGCACCAGGCTTATGATGGTTCCCCCAAATACTTGAAGTTTTTATTTTTTTTTATTCTTAAAAATATCTCTTTCATAATTTATTATATTGGTTACATGTTGAAATGATATTCTAAATATACTGAGTTATATAAAATACATTATTAAAATCAATTTTACCTACTGATTTTAAATGATTTAAATTTGGTTGTAAAATTTAACATATGTGTGGTATATGTTATTATAACATATTATTATATTTTTATTGTATAGCCCTACCTTATTGATTTTGTATTCAATTCTGTTTCTGAGTTATTTTTTCACATTCTCTGGATAACACATATTTCAAAGTTCAGAAATACTTCCTTAGTATTAACATTTTCAGTAGTGAATAGTCTTTCTAGAAAGAATTGTGTGATGATCAATATTATTTTTGAAATAGTTGTATTATTAGTTGTTCTTAAAATGTTTATCATCTCGCTAGCACTTTTATAGAATGTTATAGGACTTGTGAAGCTCTGGAATCTGAATTTTGGTTCTTTTAAAGGTGCTTTATCTGTGTAGATGGTTGTTAAATTGGTGTCCTTGCCAGGGAGACCATTGGTGGAGCCTTCTAGTTCACCACCTTGCTCTGCCTCCAGTTCGAAGTCTTGAATGAATGAAATCTAATAGCAGTCTCTTGATGGTCTACAGTCAGTGACGAGGGCTCTCTTTCATCTTTCTTCAACCCCTTGATCTTCCCTGCAGTTGCCCAGTGCTGTCAAAATACCTTTGTGTCAATCGGAAAATTGACCTAATATGCGAATGCATACATCAGATGTTAGTGACTGTTAAATCCTAGAGTATTTGCATAAAACTATTTTTAATTTTAAAAAGGGAAAGATGAGCTGGAGTATTAGCAGCCCATTACTTAATAATCCCCATGTCATTCCTCTAAGTTCTCTGTTAACTATTTTGGCTCAAGTTCTATCTCCCCTTGATAAGACTTGGGCACTCCATACTTGTGCGTCAAAGATATCTTGATGTGAAGTGCCCATCTGAAGGGGAAGGACGGTGCCTGTCCAGTTGTAGAAGGAAGTTTCTTGGGTACATAGTCCAGCCCTTAAAAGCCTTAATGGGTGCAGCACACCAACATGGTACATGTATACATATGTAACAAACCTGCACGTTGTGCACATGTACCCTAGAACATAAAGTTAAAAAAAAAAAAAAAAAAAAAAAAAGCCTTGGGCTTTGATTCTTTAATTGAACAAAATTAAATAACCTGAGAAATGATGAAGATTTGCCTGTGCTTTTTCTGGTGCTTCATAGAGGGATACTATTTCATACCTCAAATATGCATTTTCTTCATGTTCCTTGTTGAAATTATCTGCAAATTCTACGTAAAAAGGGATTACTTTATCACCAGCAAAGGTATCACATGTATTTCCATAAAAACACCTGTTCTGTATTTTGGCCAGTAGCAGTTCAAGTTCCAAATATATAAAATAAATAATATATAAATAAATATATATATATATGTGTGTGATAACATTTTTAAAAATCTTGGTATCTTCAGCTCCTAAACTTCTCTTTATGTCAAAATTATTTATCAAAACTGTTTATTTAAAACAGTGAGATACCATGATGCACCTATTAGAACAGCCAAAATCCAGAACACTGATACCACCAATTTCTGGTGAGGATGTGGAGCAACAGGAACCCTCATTCACTGCAGGTGGAAATGCAAAATGGTACAGCCACTTTGGAAGACAGTTTGGTGATTTCTTACAAAATGAAACATACTCTTACCATATGATTCAGTAATCGTGCTTCTTGGTATTTACCCAAAGGAGTGGAAAACGTATGTCCACGCAAAAACCTGCACATGCATATTTATAGCAGCTTTATTTGTAATTGACAAAACTTGGGAGCAATCAAGACGTCCCTCAGTAGGTTAATGGTTAAACTGTGATACATCCAGATGACGGAATGTTATTCAACACTAAAAAGAAATGAGTGATCACACCATAAAAAGACATGGAGGAAACTTAAACAGTGATTACTAAGTGAAAAAAGCTAGTCTGAAAAGGCTACTTACTCTATAATTCTGAATACATGACATTCTGGAAAAGGCAGATCCGTGGAGAAAATAAAAAGATCAGTGGTTGCCATGGGGTTAGCATGAGGGAGAAATGACTAGGAATCCAGGGGATTTTTAAGGCAGTAAAACTACTGTGCATGATACTCTAATAGTGAATATATGTCATTATACATTTGTCCAAATCCATAGAATGTACAACACCAAAGCTGAGCCCTAATGTAAACTATGGACTGTGGGTGATAATGCTGTGTCAGTGCAGGTTCATCAAATGTAATAACGTACCTCTCTGATGGGAGACGTTGACAACGGGGGAGGCTATACATGTGTGGGGGCAAGGGATATATAGAAAATCTTTGTACTTGCTGCTCAATTTTGCTAGCCGGACATGGTGGCTCACACCTATAATCCCAGCACTTTGGGAGGCTGAGGCGGGCAAATCACTTGAGGTCAGGAGTCCGAGACAAGCCTGGCCAACATGGTGAAACCCTGTCTCTACTAAAAATACAAAAATTCGCTGGGCGTGGTGGTGGGTGCCTATAATCCCAGCTACTGGGGAGGCTGAGGCAGGAGAATCCCTTGAACCTGGGAGGCGGAGATGGCAGTGGGCTGAGATCACACTACTGCACTGCAGCCTGGGCGACAGAGCGAGACTCTGTCTCAAAACAAAAACAAAAACAAAATTTTTGCTGTGAAACTAAAAGTGCTCTGCAAAATAAATTCTCTTAAGAAAAAGGGTTGGGCTATAAATATTTTACTAAAGCAAAGCAAGAGGTTCTAATGCCCCAGAGGAGAGATTTCTAATGAGGGACTTGAGGCTCTGTCATGATGTAGGGAGGTTATGGGGGAAGATTCTTGAGGCTGGAGAAGCTCCCCTGGAGCCTGGGGGGTGGCCGCTTCCACATATGTCCAGAACCACCTGAGATGTCTCCATCACTTTTGCATTTATTAGCTGTGCTGTCTGTCTCCTTGGCATCACCACTACCCCTAAGATCTCTGCAGAGGAAAAGCTAGGAAATATATTTCTCAGAATCTCCTTCCCCTGAATGGTCTTGGGTTGGAGTTTCCCAAAGAAAGGCAAGGTGAGACTGGGGAGGCTGCAGTAGGCAGTGGTAAGATCCAGGGCAAGGCCCTAGAAAGCTCTCGAATAGTGGTTTTCAAACTTGAGCTGTATCAGAAGCACCCAGACAACTTGATAAAGCACAGAATGCTAGAGCCCATCCTTGGAGTGTATGATTCAGTAGGCCTAGGGTAGGGCCTCAGATTTACATTTCTAGCAATTTCCAAGGTGATGTTGATGCTGCTGGTTCCCATACCCACTAGAAAATCACAGTTTTAGAAAAATAGCTCCTTCAATGCTTCCATTTCCTTGAATTAAGACTCATGATGTAGAGAATACATAGCATGACCCCTGTTTTCCAGAGTAAACTTGGCCAATATTCAGTGCACAGAACTTTCCAGAGTGCTTAAGTCTCCCCAAGAAGCACGATTACTGAATCATACGGTAAGAGTGCTTAAGTTTAGAGAAGGGAATCAGGCAGGCTGGCATTGCTTCCAGGACCTATGTGGTTTCAATCTCCATGAGGCAAGGCCCCTGCTGCCATGCTGGTCTTCAGCTTCCAGTGGGGAAGGGACACTTGGGCCTCTTGCAGCCGGGCACTTTTGACTTTTTGCTCATTGACACTCCCCAGCTCTATGGAACATGCCAGGGCAGGACAAAGCCTCCAACTACTGGCCCTGGAAGACAGCTGTGTCAGTCTATTTGCACTGCCATAAAGAAATACCTGAGGCTGGGTAATTTATAAAGAAAAGAGATTTAATTGTCTCATGGTTCTGCAGGCTGTACAGGAAGCATGGCTCCAGCACCTGCTTCTGGTGAGACCTCAGGAAGCTTCCAATCATGGTGGAAGGCGAAATGGGAGCAGGCATGTCACACGGCAAGACAGGAGCAAGACAGAGAAGAGGGAAGTCTCAGACTCTCTCTAAACAACCAGATCTTGTGTGAGCTCAGAGAGAGAACTCTCTCATTATCACGATGGCATGAAGTCATTCATGATGGATCTGCCCCCATTACTCAAACACCTCCCACCAGACTCTACCTCAAACACTGGGGATCACATTTCAACATGGGATTTGGAGGGGACACACATCCAAGCCATATCAACAGCCCAGGGAGTTGCCCTGAGTCACAGCTGATAATAGGTCTGCTGTGATGGCGGGGACATGCATGGCTGGCAGCAGGCAACGTGACATCCAGTTGCTGTTGCAGTGGACGAGGTGACTGCAAGCAGCTGTGTATAAATAAGAACAAAGTTGCTTCTAAGCAAAGGCCTGGATTTGTGGTGAGGCTAAGAGGCTGAGTCACCTGTGAGCCACCTCAAGAGCTCTGCCGTGGCAGCTGAGGGACTTGAGCACCACATGGAAGGGGCTGCTAGCCTTACACAGGTGTCTGGGGCCACAACTGATAGAAAGGACGGTCAGAATACCCAATATTTGCGAATCTCTAAGTGGCCTTTTCTGAAAAAGAAAGAAAAACTTTACAGGTAAAGAAACAGACTCAGAGGCTAAGCAGCATGACCAGAGTCAGTTAGTGGCAGAGTCAGGACCATGACCAAGTCCTTTAACTCTGAATTCCATGTTCAGACTAGCTGCCTGCAGTCCCCTCTGGGAACCCTGGCTCCAGGACAAAGGCACAAAGGGGACCACGGGGAGACACCACGTGCTTAGGCATCGTGGAAGAGGGAGCACCTTTTCCAGGTCCCACCTTGGACACTGTATATCTCACCTGTTGAACTACTCAGGTTATCTTTTCATTGTTTGTAATGTTAAATTTTGAAATAATTATAGATTCAGAGTAATTTCACCCAACTTCGCCCAGCTGGTGCATCTTACATAGCTGCAGTACAACGTGAAAAGCAGGGCAGGTTGTCTTGAAAGGAGCAGTTTCTCTCACAAATGTCCTCCAAGCCCTAAGACGCAGGCATTTAGAAAATCCAGTAATTGCTGTCATTTTCATTATCAGTTAAATGAGTCCCCTAATGTTTCAGAACTGCAGATGACATGAGATGTCCCTGCTGGGGAGAAAAACTTGATCCCATTGGCAAACCAGCTCCTGAGATTTGTATCAAGTCCTCTGCATCTCGCAGCTACCTTGTGTCTCCTCTACTGAAAAGTGGCTGGAACGTTCAGACCTTCTACTAATGGCAAATTCTGAGGTTAGTAGATATGGTAAGATTGGCAGACCTCTCTGGAATTGTTTATATAGCAGAGAAAACAGAATTTTAGAGTCAGGCAAATCTGAGTTTTAATCCTTATAATCAATCATGCATTAAGTATTGACATTTCTTCTAACATTGCCTTAAAATGTTAAGGAAAATTTTAAATAATTTCTTGTAACTTAACTTTTAAAATACGTCTGTTTTATTATGCCGACTAGATTATAAACTGCTAAATCACATGTTTTGCTTTTTTTTTTTTTTTTTTTTTTTTGCATTTGCCCCTATGGTTTGATGATTAGATCTAGAAACACTGACATGATTGTTGAAACACAGATAGGCTGGCTTCAAAACACTGAAATTCAATGACTATGCAAGGTATCATCCACCAATTTGTAGTTATTAAAAAAATAAACTCACTGGTAAGCAAAGCAGGTGTGTCACCTTAGAAGTGGAATGTGAATGTTGATTTGGAGTTTGGTAATCAGTGTAATATTGTCCACCTTAAAAATCATTTTCTTGGGTCAGGCATGGTGACTCATGCCTGTAATCTCAGCACTTTGGGAGGCCGAGGCGGGCGGATCACCTAAGGTCAGGAGTTCAAGACCAGCCTGGCCAACATGGAAACCCCGTCTCTACTAAAAATACAAAAGTTAGCCGGCCATGGTGGTGGGTGCCTGTAATCCTAGCTACTCAGGAGACTGAGGCAGGAGAATTGCTTGAACCTGGGAGGCGGAGGTTGTAGTGAGCCGAGACTGTGCCAATGCACTCCGGCCTGGGCAACAAGAGTGAAACTCCATTTCAAAAAACAAAAAAAAACCATTTTCTTGTGCTGTAGGTTTAAATATTAAGAACCCACAACATGAAGACATTTGAAGATCTCAGATGAGATCTCTTGGTGAGTTTCAGGTCTCCTAAGAATTATGTTATATCCCTAAGGATACACGTGGTTTTCACAGTTATTATGTGCTAGATGAAAGACACAAAACAACTGTTATGGACTATCTGTGTCACTCCAAAATTCATATGTTAGAATCTAACCCCCAATGTGATCACGATGCAGCCTTGAGAGGTAATTATGTCATGTGGGTGGAGCCTTCATGAATGGGACCAGTGCCCTTATAAGAAGAGGCCAGAGGGCTAGCTCACTCTCTTTCCACCATCTGAGTATACAGTGAGAAGACTGCAGTCTGCAACCCAGAAGGGAGCCTTCCCCAGAATCTAACCATGTTGGTGCCCTGATCTCAGGCTTCCAGCTTCCAGAACTGTAAGAAATAAATGCTGTGTATGAGCCATCCAGACCTTGTTATAGAAGTCTGAACTAAGACAACAACTATACCAACCTTAAAAAAATATGCTGGAAGTTTTTTTTTATTTTAAGGGAAAAATAGGATTGGTTCCAGTGCTCTAAATAATGACAGGAATTGCTAAATACAAGCTATAGGTATTTATTGAACAGACGTGAGCTATACAAGGGTATGCCTTGTGTGTATACAGGTTGCCTTTGTTTGTTTAATATTTTATCATAAAACATCCATGTTATAATGTTGTATATGGAAACAACAGTGCCAGGTAGAAGGTGGATGGGCAATGGAAAATAGGTTACAGAAAATATACTAAAGCAAGATGTTTCCATCAAAACCAAGCTATTAATGTTTGGGTTTGGCAGTGAGCTTTTGTCTATCAAACAAGGCTTTGGGTTCAGGTAGCACAGAGAAAACACCTATAGACAGGAACCAGAGGCACACTACTTCAATCACAATTAATGTCGATATTGCATACATGTTCTTGATAATGTATATTGTAGCCAGCTTCTGTGGCCATGGCTGCTATTATCCCTGCCTTTTTCCCTGTTTGAAAAGAATCTTCTCAGCAGAGCTAGAGTCAGTAGAGAGTGTGTTTTATGTTATTGTGTTTGTGCTGGTGTCATTTGTGCTACGGGTAATTACTCAGTTGTTTCAACCAGCAATGTGATTTCCAACACCAAAACATTATCATTTATAGAAATAGGTAATCCTGATATTGGTGCCTTAGGTTCCTAATCTTTCAATGCTAATGATCCCTAAGCAATTTCAAAAGAGATCACTTTGCTGGTTATAAAAACAATGATGCCGAGTATGGATTATGACTGTTCCTTGTATGACTCGAAAGCTTTTCACCCATGTGTTTGCCGTGACCTGTGTGAGAGCCTCATAAAATTATTCAATGCTTTCCCAGTAATGTTTAGGATAACCTGAGTGAATTCTTTGTTCATCTGAGGGTGGGAAGGTGTTTTCATAGCTTGCATGGTTTTTTTTTTTTTTTTTTTTTTTTAATTTTTTGAATTTCCAGCTTTTCTGCCCTGCTTTTTCCCCATCTTTGTGGTTTTATCTGCCTTTGGTCTTTGATGCTTGCATGGTTCTTGACAACCATACTTGTATTTGGACAATCAAAGGTTGTGTGTTCTTTGCTTCGTGCCATCATGAAGAATTTCAGAAAGAGACGTGATTTGACCTTAGTGTTTTAAATGGGCATGGTCCTGCTGCCAAGTTCAGCAAAACAGCAGCTACTGCTGTCTGATGTACTCTGAAAGCCCGATCAGTCAGATCAGCCCATTAGAGACCTGACCTCATGGACCCGCTTGCAGGGTGGCGGCTGGATGATGGGCTGATGTGAGGACAACTGCTCCATCGTGCTCAGCGCTGCTGAGTTGCACTGCATGAGGAACCAAGCTTAGTTTTATTTCCCTGCCCTTCTGCAAACAATTATTCTAGCAACATACACTAGGCATCCAGAAAATAGTATGAAATGGATTTTGATGTTTTTGGGCTTGGATTAATTTGCTTCACTGTAGCCCTTGAACTCTTGAAACAGAAGTATCAAGAACCTGCTATTCTCTTAGTGGGCTTTGACCATGTGGTGCCCCAGAAGTTATCTCCAAATATACTTCAAAATATCAGGCAGAGGTGTCCTGTCTAAAGTTACTATGTGCCATATACCTGTTATGGTGGCCACCAGCAGCATCTTTCTGACTACCCTGAATGTTCACAATGATGCTTGAGAAAGGATGAAAGAGGCAAAATATGCGGTGAATATATTGAGTGTCTCTTGGGAACTTTGTTCTTTTCACTGGATCGTCTTTAGAGCCTTCAGTGAACTAGCTCACCTTCCACCATTTGTTTCTTACATGCATATTACCCACGACACCTGGCCAAATTGAGCCTGGTATACTTCTTTTGTTGTAATCGAAAGGATGTCAGAACAAAGTTCCATGTTTAGGGTCTGGATGTGTGAACAATAGGCATTCCCAAGAGCACCCTCAGTTCTCTCCTGGGTATCAACAAGAAATCCTCGCCGTGAAGACTGAATGACACCAAGTACCGTAGCTCAATGGACTTCATGGCACTTGGGGGAACTTAGGCTTTTGTTTTGTTAGACTGTCTTTTGTTTTTCAGCTTGTGTGTTCATTGGAAATTCAGAGATAAGGCATTTGTGAACTAGGGATCTAGAAAACTTGTCACCAGATGACACATCTATTTTGGGGGCTGGCGAGCTCCAGGTGGCCTGATTGCTTGTCTTGGGCTCCCCCCACTGCTGGGACTCCATGCATATAGTCTCAGCTAATGTGGAACATGGAGGGTGCCTATCCTGAAGGTGGGTTCCTTCTGGG